TTATTGAGTAGAAGTACGCTTTTATTCCACAGCGGGTGAATTCAGTTGTGCCATTGCCAAAGCAAATAGGCAAAGCATGCACGTACACAGAGAGCTTAAAAATAAATAAAGAAATATTTGCTCTATTTGAAGAATGACTAATGATAGTGAATGGTGAGCTATGACTTTTTCTTTTTATTAAACTCTGCAAGCATTAAGATTTTTTTTACATACTATGTCTGACAAAAAGTGAACTAAGCCCTTGTTAATTATTGTTTCCCCCTTATGCAATGCACTGCTTGCATAGACAGAAAAACATTGATGCAATATGATGCTACCACAACCGTGGTTACCAGTTTTAAAATCTTCTCAAAGGTTTCAAATTCTATAGATATGTTTGCATTATCTTTTTAAAACTGAAAAATTGCAATGCCTGCAGTTATAGTCACACAAACGGGGTAATGTCCATCCAAAATCACACTGATACAATAGAGAATATTTTACTTCCTTTAAATATAGGATTTCATTTACAGATAAAGATAAATATTTGGTTTTGGTCAAGAAATTAGTTAATTATTCACCATAACAATATATTCTAAAGGCCATAATATTCGCTTTTTCTTATTGTTTTCTGAGTTACCTTAGTTGCTGCTGCTCCTAGCCTTTGGCTGAACAGAGGTGGATAAACAAAACAAAAAAAGGGGGGGGGGGGGGTCAATATTGAGAACAGCAGCTTGGCTTATACCATTTATAACCATGGGGGGGTTGCTTTTGTTAGTTGCAATTATTTTTGTTTGACCCAATTGTCTTTATTTTTTTAGGCTAACCAGCTGCTTGAGTTTCCACTTCTGTCTCATTTCATAGGTCTGTTTGTTCAGTTGTTTCTAGTACTTTATTTTGAACACTATTATTAGCTCAAGATCTTAATGTTTTGAATGATCCATCCAGTGGTTTTTTTGTGCGTTAAATAAAAAACCTCCTTTTTAAAAACTTTAACCTGTGCCTGACAGTTTTTCACATTACTGGGCCTTTACAGTGACTGATGTACACAATAACTGCATAACATTTTTCAAGAGCTGTATTTGAAAATATTTTTACTAACACTTAATGGTTTCCAAATATTAAAATTCTCTTGATTTATTTATTTCTTCAATTTTTTATATTAACTTGACTGAATCTCAAAACTCTCTATCTTGGTTAAGTATATTAGCCACTAGATGGAAGTGTAGTCCAATATGTACTGTTTTTTCTCTTTATTTCATATCTGCTATTTTATTTTATAATGATAATTATACAAAAAACAAAATTGTAGTAATGCAAAAAAAAAAACTAAATACTGTTAATTAGGCATAGAAGCATACTTTTTTAAACATAAACTTTCTGAGGGTTTTTTTTTTTGGAGTGATACAAATAAATAAAAAAACTTGTGTCTAGAACGGTTATCTTTAATTACATTTGAGTTATCTTTGATCCTGTACATTAAATAGAATTTAAAAGGTGTGATTTTCCTGAAAAATTAGATTGAAAAAACTTAAGTCTTAAGCACTTAAGCGTAATAACAGGAAGAGAATCTCAATTGCGACTGATTAAATGTTGCGTTTTTTCCAATCTTTGTCCCGTAAAAACATTATTCTCATCATAATAAGTAATGACCCCCTCCCAAACCTATAATCAGGATACTAAATGCAGACCTTTTGTGCTTTCTGATGAGGTATATTGTATTCCAATCAGGACTCTTTTCTGTTTGTCTGACTGAATACCAGCTATGAAGAATCCTACAAGCATATTGGTTATGTCGTTTTTTCTTTTTTATATTTTTATCCTTAATGAAAGCTACAGATTTACATGAGAGAACAAGAGCAAGGACTGAAAACCATCTAGTTCTCTCAAAGTTGAAAATTTGCAAAATATCCGAAACATGCATGATGTTTAAGGGAAATATCTTTTGAAGAAAAAAATGATCAAACAAATGATGAGAGTCTGGTTCAGAGTTTAAATAGAAAATGGTTTTGTGTAGATTAAAGGTTAATTAAATATTTTATTTACAATAAACTGAGATCAATCATAATGTTATTAGGCTGTAGCATGCAGGAAGAAAAAAGAAAAATGGTTTTGGGTCACTAATGCCTTGCCTAAAGACATTTTATCTTTATAATGAATGCACGGAAAATGCTGAACAGAAAGATGAAAATCTTGCTGAGGCAGATTTTATAAGTCCCATTTTAAACTGTGCTCTCCTGTTTTGTTAACACCTGGAAATACTAGAAATGCAGCTAAGCTATAATTCAGTATGCAAAAAAGTCAAAGGAAATTGCTCAGCATTTTTGTAAGAATATGTAAAAAATTTGCCATTTACTTCTTTATGCAACGGTAAGAAATTTAGTTCTCTCCAGTTAATTTTCTTTCAATTGGATTGCTACAGACTGGCAATATGACACATAATTGAAATGTGTTAAGGGAAGAGTCAAGCTTTCTTTTTTAAGATAAGTACTTCTGCTGATGAGCCTTTAGTATAAGTAAAAGAATGGAATTAAATAGAAATAGCTTAGTTATTAACCCATATGTTGGGAGATATGTGAGTAACCTAAGAGCTAGGAGCAGAGCATCTGAATGTAAAGCAGGATGTAATGCATAGCTTATTCAGGTTATCTGACATTCACTTCTGCTGGGTTCCTCCACATTAATGGGAAAAAAGCAGATAAATCTGCTGAAAGGGCTTTGGGGAAGGAGATAAGGGGAAGGTAAATCAATAATTAAAGGGAAAAAACACAGATTTAAGGATGGGATGAAGGTTAGAAAGGAAGAAAACTATAGAATAAGTTTTATTTATACTAGAGAAAAAGAAAATGTGGATCATTTTTGATGAACTGTAGCTGAAAGAGAGGATGAGAAAAGTAATTAGGAAAACAGGGAGAGAACAGAGTTTAAATGGAAGAAAATCTGTTTTTTTTTTTAAATAAAACATTGTTAGTTATGTTAATATTATGCTTAATAATAAGGAGAATATAGCAGGTGGAACACATGCAGGTACACGGTCTGTACAGTAGGTGGCGGTATGCACCTTTATATTCTTCGCTATCTGCCTAAATGGAGAGATAAATACAACTTCTCACTGTTTCGTTGATTAATTTAAAAGCTGATATTTGTTGAAAGGTAAACAACAGGAAAACTAAGAAAATCATCTGACAACAGATTGATATAAAGATGTTTATTAGCTTTTAGGTTTTGTTCTGTTTTTGAACTGTTTTTTTCCTTTTTAATGCTCCATGACCTTTAATCTTCCACGACCATTTGCATCCTGATGCTTCATTAATAACCTTCTGTATTGTTTCGTACAGGTGCTGGTCATAAAATTAGAATATCATGAAAAAGTAGATTGATTTCAGTAATTCCATTTAAAAAGTGAAACTTGTATATTATATTCATACATTACATACAAACTCATATATTTCAGATGTTTATTTTGTTTAATTTTGATGATTACAAATGACAACAAATGAAAATCTCAAATTCATCATATCAGAAAATTAGAATATTACTGAAGACCAATAAAAACAAAGGATTTATAGAAATGTTGGCCAACTGAAAAGTATGAACATGTAAAGTATGAGCATGTACAGCACTCAGTATTTAGTTGGGCCTCCTTTGGCCTGTATTACTGCAGCAATGCGGCGTGGCATGGAGTCGATCAGTCTGTGGCACTGCTCAGGTGTTATGATAGCCCAGGTTGCTCTAATAGTGGCTTTTAGCTCTTCTGAATTGTTGGGTCTGGTGTATTGCATCTTCTTCTTCACAATACCCCATAGATTTTCTATGGGGTTAAGGTCAGGAGAGTTTGCTGGCCAATTAAGAACAGGGATACCATGGTCCTTCAACCAGGTACTGGTAGCTTTGGCACTGTGTGCAGGTGCCAAGTCCTGTTGGAAAATGAAATCTGCATCTCCAAAAAGTTGGTCAGCTGCAGGAAGCATGAAGTGCTCTAAAACTTCCTGGTATGTGGCTGCGTTGACCCTGGACCTCAGAAAACACAATGGACCAACACCAGCAGATGACATGGCACCCCAAACCATCACTGACTGTGGAAACTTTACACTGGACTTCAAGCAACGTGGATGAAGTGCCTCTCTTCTTTTCCTCCAGACTCTGGGACCTTGATTTCCAAAGGAAATGCAAAATTTACTTTCATCAGAGAACATGACTTTGGACCACTCACCAGCAGTCCAGTCCTGTTTCTCTTTAGCCCAGGCAAGACGCTTCTGACGCTGTCTGTGGTTCAAGAGTGGCTTGACACAAGGAATGCGACAGCAGAAACCCATGTCTTTCATACGTCTGTGTGTGGTGGTTCTTGAAGCACTCACTCCAGCTGCAGTCCACTCTTTGTGAATCTCCCCCACATTTTTGAATGGGTTTTGTTTCACAATCCTCTCCAGGGTGCGGTTATCTCTCTTGCTTGTACACTTTTTTCGACCACATCTTTTCCTTCCCTTCGCCTCTCTATTAATGTGCTTGGACACTGAGCTCTGTGAACAGCCAGCCTCTTTAGCGATGACCTTTTGTGTCTTGCCCTCCTTGTGCAAGGTGTCGATGGTCGTCTTTTGGACAACTGTCAAGTCAGCAGTCTTCCCCATGATTGTGTAGCCTATAGAACTAGACTGAAAGACCATTTAAAGGCTTTTGCAGGTGGTTTGAGTTAATTAGCTGATTAGAGTGTGGCACCAGGGGCCATCAATTTTGAACCTTTTCACAATATTCTAATTTTCTGATATGATGAATTTGAGATTTTCATTTGTTGTCATTTGTAATCATCAAAATTAAACAAAATAAACATCTGAAATATATGAGTTTGTATGTAATGTATGAATATAATATACAAGTTTCACTTTTTAAATGGAATTACTGAAATCAATCTACTTTTTCATGATATTCTAATTTTATGACCAGCACCTGTACAGTAGGGGAGCGAAAGGAGTCGGGAGGCTCCAGGCTGCAGACATGCTCCTCATGTATTACCGGCAGGGGGCAGCAGAGCAGAGCAGCCTGCTAGAAATGATTAGAAGAAGAAGAAAAAAGGAGAGGAAGAAGAAGAAAGCAGCTGAGGGAGAAAGGCTGACTGTTAGCTAAGAGGTAGAGAAAATGGACCGAACAGTGAGCCTCCCGCTGCAACCAGGAGCTCAGACCACAGGTAAGCAGCTCACCTGAGTCGGAATGACGCTGAAACATCAACATGGTTACCAGACCGGTTCTGGCTGGAAGGGAACTGAGTATTTGCTGGGTTCAGCAGGTAATGGCTGGATTACATGACAGTCGGCATTACAACACGGTGTTATAACACCGGTACCAGCGGTACTGTGGTGGCTCCAGGTTCTGACCTCCGGGTTCTGACCTGGAGCCACTGTGACTCTCATCAAAGGAAGTTTTATGGTTTTGATCAGATTCTACAAACTGTTTTTTATTTAATTTAAGTGTTTTTCTATAATAATGAGCGACAGTTAGTTCGATGGAGGATCAATTTATAGATCCAGTAATAATAAAGCCCACTAACATGGGGGACTGGGTGGGGGGGTCTGTGGGCCCTCTGGTTGGTTAGCAGAGGTTACCATGGTTACTAGGACCTGACCATGCATGAGGCCCCTGTGTGTGTGTGTGTGTGTGTGTTGCAGTGCAGCTGGTGGAGAGCAGCCCGGCCCCCAGCGGAGTGGAGCTGGTCAGCTCCTACCAGACCAACAGACTGGGAGACCCCATGGACCTGGTGGCGCTGGCCCAGCAGGTCCAGAAGGTGAGCTGTGGGTTTACCGGCCGGCTCTCACTGCCGCTTCTCCTTCTGAAACCATCTGCATGTCTCTCAGGGAGACGATTTTGTGAAAGCCAACGCCTGCAACAAGCTGACGGTGATTGCAGACCAGATCCGGTACCTTCAGGAGCAGGCCAGAAAGGTAAGCGCCATCAATCCGTACAGGAGTTCTGATCATACAGACCTCAGCTGATGGTTCTGCTTGATGCTTCTTTCAGGTTCTAGAAGATGCCAAAAGAGACGCTGACCTCCACCACGCTGCCTGCAACATAGTGAAGAAGCCTGGCACCATGTATTACCTGTACCAGCGTCCATCTGGACAGAAATACTTCTCCATCATCTCCCCGCAGGTTAGTCCTGGCTCCTCCCACCGGGGGACCTTATCTAATCCGGCCCCAGGGGGAATCTGTGCAGGCGGCTCACGTAACGTGCAGCGCGACTCGGCAGGCCTGTTTACATAACGCTAGCGCTGAAGGTCAAAGGTCATGCAGCCGTGAAGGAACTGACAGATCAGCAGGCAGCTGAACTCAGGCAGTTTGGGTTGGAGTGGACCGGTTCCTCCCGCTCCATCTGGGTCCATCAGAAGGATCGCTGGAGGAAAGACGTGTCCCCCTGAGTCCGCCATCTTCTGACATGTTTTCTGTCTGGTTCATTCATTCAAGTCCAGATCTTTGTTTAAACAGACGAAATCCTTTGATTTAGTGTTTAGTTTAAACATTTAGTTGTTTAAATTTAAGTTGATTGACAGCTGGTCAGCCACGCGTACTGAGGGCGGTCAGTGAGGTAGTTGATGGTCCAGGCAGCCAGATGTCTGTTCACTCCAGCGTCCTCCACCTTCCCACTCAGCAGCTCTGCTCTGATGGTGCTGAAAGCGCTGGAGAAGTCAAAGATCATGACTCTCTCATTGCACTTGCCTGCATTTCTGAGGAGGAGGATCCCTCTTTCAGTTCCTGTAGAGCTCCTGAAGACCAGCTGGTTCCGACGATGGGGTCTCCATGAATAAACATTAGCCTCCAGGCCCTGACTATTATCAATGCTGATGTTAACTAAATGGCTGATAGTTAATATTATCAATGCTAATGTTAGCTAAATGACTGGCAGTGAATGTTATTGATGCTAATGCTAGCAAAATTGCTTGCAGTGAATGTTATTGATGCTAATGTTAGCTAAATGGCTTGCAGTTAATGTTATAGATGCTAATGTTAGCTAAATTGCTTGTAGTGAATGTTATTGATGCTAATGTTAGCTAAATTGCTTGCAGTGAATGTTATTGATGCTAATGTTAGCTAAATTGCTTGCAGTGAATGTTATTGATGCTAATGTTAGCTAAATTGCTTGCAGTGAATGTTTTTGATGCTAATGTTAGCTAAATGGCTTGCAGTGAATGTTATAGATGCTAATGTTAGCTAAATTGCTTGCAGTGAATGTTATTGATGCTAATGTTAGCTAAATTGCTTGCAGTGAATGTTATTGATGCTAATGTTAGCTAAATTGCTTGCAGTGAATGTTTTTTATGCTAATGTTAGCTAAATGGCTTGCAGTGAATGTTATAGATGCTAATGTTAGCTAAATTGCTTGCAGTGAATGTTATTGATGCTAATGTTAGCTAAATGGCTTGCAGTGAATGTTATAGATGCTAATGTTAGCTAAATTGCTTGCAGTGAATGTTATTGATGCTAATGTTAGCTAAATGCTTGCAGTGAATGTTATTGATGCTAATGTTAGCTAAATTGCTTGCATTGAATGTTATTGATGCTAATGTTAGCTAAATGGCTTGCATTGAATGTTATAGATGCTAATGTTAGCTAAATTGCTTGCAGTGAATGTTATAGATGCTAATGTTAGCTAGATTGCTTGCAGTGAATGTTATTGATGCTAATGTTAGCTAAATTGCTTGCATTGAATGTTATTGATGCTAATGTTGGCTAAATGGCTGGCAGTAAATGTTATTGATGCTCAGTGTGTGAACCCGGCTGACCTGTTTATCTTTCCCCTGAAGGAATGGGGACCCAGCTGCCCTCATCCCTTCCTGGGAGCCTTCAAGCTGCAGCACGACATGTCCTGGACCCCGATGGAGCAGGTCGAGAAGAGGGAGGCAGAGATCGCCATCATGGACAAACTGCTGAGCCAGCAGACAGCCTTACCTCCGTACACGGGACCCAACTTCAAAGGTCTGACTGAATGAAGACTGCTGAGCGGACCAATCAAGGATTGGTTTACTGGACATCTCGGTCCACACTGGGACAGACGCTGCTTTCTTCTGCTGCTATGTAGCCTAATGGCCTAGTTAAAGTCTGTCTTAGAAATCACTATCAGCATTTTCAATCTTCTGAACTGTTCTGAAAGATGGATGGTCCTGATAAAACACTGCGGATCAGAACCAGCAGACGAGTCGGAACCCAACCACCTCTGGACCTGAGGCGACGAGGTTCCTCATGGGGTCCAGGAAACATAACATGTTCTCACCTTCAATAAAATGATTTATTTTAACGTTTGAGACCCAATTTTCTATTTGCTGGATGTGTGGGGTTAGGGGTCTTGACAGGGGAGCTAGAGTGGCAGTTTGTGGGGGATCGAACCGGATACTTGCAACCTTCTCATTACGGTCCACTGCTCCTGCCTCTCTGTCTCTGTGTGGTTGGTCTTTTCTTCTGTGGCTGAAAAGTTCATCAAATTTCCAATGGGAGATTATTAAACTAGACTGACTAAAACTGGAACTATATCAGGAGGCTAAACTAGAGCAAACAAGGAATAAAAAAAAAAAAAAACATATGAAGAGAAAACAAACCATTTGATGTGATCGTAAACGCCACATTGATAATCTAAACTAGCTGCTGTATATTTTATTTATATTTAATAAAGTGCAAGATTGCTTCAAATCTTCATTAATTTACAAAGTGAATTATCTTAGTCCAGATGATAATAGATAAAAATCCAATGACATGCCTCCTAATAACTGCTCAGAAATCCATCCATTGATCCTCTTCCGCTTATCCGGGGTCGGTTCGCGGGGGTAGCAGTTTCAGTAGGGAGGCCTGGACATCCCTCTCCCCAGCCACTTGGGCCAGCTCCTCCGAGGGAATCCCAGGGCGCTCCCAGGCCAGCCGAGAAACACACTCCCTCCAGCGTGTCCTGGGTCTCCCCCTGGGCCTCCTCCAGGTGGGACGCGCCTGGAATACCTCACTAGGGAGGCGTCCAGGAGGCATCCTAATCAGATGCCCGAGCCACCTCAACTGGCTCCTCTCGATGTGGAGGAGCAGCGGCTCTACTCTGAGTCATCCCCGGATGACTGAGCTCCTCACCGTATCTCTAAGGGAGAGCCCAGACACACTACGGAGAAAATTCATTTCAGCCGCTTGTATCCGGATCATGTTCTTTCGGTCATGACCCAAAGCTCATGACCATAGATGAGGGTAGGAACGTAGATCGAGCGGTAAATCGAGAGCTTTGCTTTTTGGCTCAGCTCTCTCTCTCTCTTCACAGACCGGTACAGTCTGTCATACACCATTCCGCCTATCAATCTCCTGCTCCATCTTCCCATCATTCATGAACAAGACCCCAAGATACTTAATCCTGGTCTTTTCTAATAGCTGGCTCTTTCAGCTTCGCTGCTGTCAGCAAAGTGAATAGGTGGGCTGGTGCTAAAATACGGACTAGAATTAACCTCGCATGTCCTGAGATTAACCTGGCATCTCCTAGAATTAACCTGGCATGTCCTCGGATTAACCTGGCATCTCCTAGAATTAACCTGGCATGTCCTCGGATTGACTTGGCATATCCTCAGATTAACCTGGCACGTCCTGAGATTAACCTGGTATCTCCTAGAATTAACCTGGCATGTCCTCGGATTAACTTGACATCTCCTAGAATTAACCTGGCATCTCCTAGAATTAACCTGGCATGTCCTCGGATTGACCTGGCATGTCCTCGGATTGACCTGGCATGTCCTCGGATTAACTTGGCATGTCCTCAGATTAACCTGGCATCTCCTAGAATTAACCTGGCATGTCCTCGGATTGACTTGACATCTCCTAGAATTAACCTGGCATGTCCTTGGATTAACTTGACATCTCCTAGAATTAACCTGGCATCTCCTAGAATTAACCTGGCATGTCCTCGGATTGACCTGGCATGTCCTCGGATTGACCTGGCATGTCCTCGGATTAACTTGGCATGTCCTCAGATTAACCTGGCATCTCCTAGAATTAACCTGGCATGTCCTCAGATTGACTTGGCATATCCTCAGATTAACCTGGCATCTCCTAGATTAACCTGGCATGTCCTCGGATTAACCTGGCATCTCCTCAGATTAACCTGGCATGTCCTCGGATTAACCTTGCATGTCCCGATTAACCTGGCATGTCCTCAGATTAACCTGGCATCTCCTAGAATTAACTTGGCATGTCCTCAGATTAACCTGGCATCTCCTAGAATAAACCTGGCATGTCCTCAGATTAACCCGGAATCTCCTAGAATTAACCTAGCATGTCCTCAGATTAACCTGGCATCTCCTAGAATTAACCTGGCATGTCCTCAGATTAACCTGGCATCTCCTAGAATTAACTTGGCTTCTCCTCAGATTAACCTGACATCTCCTAGAATTAACCTGGCATCTCCTCAGATTAACCTGGCATCTCCTAGAATTAACTTGGCATGTCCTCAGATTAACCTGGCATCTCCTAGAATTAACCTGGCATGTCCTCAGATTAACCTGGCATCTCCTAGAATTAACCTGGCATGTCCTCAGATTAACCTGGCATCTCCTCAGATTAACCTGGCATCTCCTAGAATTAACCTGGCATGTCCTCAGATTAACCTGGCATCTCCTCAGATTAACCTGACATCTCCTAGAATTAACCTGGCATCTCCTCAGATTAACCTGACATCTCCTAGAACTAACCTGGCATCTCCTAGAATTAACCTGGCATGTCCTCAGATTAACCCGGCATCTCCTAGAATTAACCTGGCATCTCCTCAGATTAACCTGGCATCTCCTAGAATTAACTTGGCATGTCTTCAGATTAACCTGGCATCTCCTAGAATTAACCTGGCATGTCCTCAGATTAACCTGGCATCTCCTAGAATTAACCTGGCATCTCCTCAGATTAACCTGGCATCTCCTAGAATTAACCTGGCATCTCCTAGAATTAACCTGGCATCTCCTCAGATTAACCTGGCATCTCCTAGAATTAACCTGGCATCTCCTAGAATTAACCTGGCATCTCCTAGAATTAACGTGGCATCTCCTCAGATTAACCTGGCGTCTCCTAGAATTAACCTGGCATCTCCTCAGATTAACCTGGCATCTCCTAGAATTAAACTGGCATCTCCTAGAATTAACCTGGCATCTCCTCAGATTAACCTGGCATCTCCTAGAATTAACTTGGCATGTCCTCAGATTAACCTGGCATCTCCTCAGATTAACCTGGCATCTCCTAGAATTAACTTGGCATGTCCTCAGATTAACCTGGCATCTCCTCAGATTAACCTGGCATCTCCTAGAATTAACGTGGCATCTCCTCAGATTAACCTGGCATCTCCTAGAATTAACCTGGCATCTCCTCAGATTAACCTGGCATCTCCTAGAATTAAACTGGCATCTCCTAGAATTAACCTGGCATCTCCTCAGATTAACCTGGCATCTCCTAGAATTAACTTGGCATGTCCTCAGATTAACCTGGCATCTCCTAGAATTAACCTGGCATGTCCTCAGATTAACCTGGCATCTCCTAGAATTAACCTGGCATCTCCTCAGATTAACCTGGCATCTCCTAGAATTAACCTGGCATCTCCTCAGATTAACCTGACATCTCCTAGAATTAACCTGGCATCTCCTCAGATTAACCTGGCATCTCCTACAAGTAACCTGGCATGTCCTCAGATTAAGCTGGCATCTCCTAGAATTAACCTGGCATGTCCTCGGATTAACTTGGCCTGTGCTCCAATGAACGTGGGATGTCCTTGTGTTAGCAGTAAGGTCGTGTTGAGAAGGTGGACTGAATTTTTATCAGCATTTTTTTTAAATCTTTAAATAAGTTGTTTTAATGTCCATTTTTTAGCGTGAAAAACTGCGGATATGGAGTGCGAGTGTGTGAAGACACTGAGATGGGCGAGTCTCACGCCTAAAGGGTGAGAGCTGACAGCCCTGATTGTAAAACACAGCTCATTTATGAGCAGTCGTTTATCTAACTGGAAAAAGCTCTGGATCTCTGCAGAGAGCCCAGGAGGACAGTATGGGGGCCCAGATTCATTCAACTTAGCCTCCTTCTTCTGTTCTGCTTAAACTCTTATACATCTATGGTTCTGACAGCATATGCAGCTCCAGGTTCTGGTCCAAGCAGAAGGTGATGAATCTCACAGGCAGCAGCATCAGAACCAAAGAGCTCATTGCATTTTTTAGGTAATCTTCTTCTTTACAGACTGACAGGTTTATTTTCTCTATTTTACTTGTGTTGTTGTATTATTTCTTCCAATGAATTAGAATTCCACCAACATCTTTTAAAAACAGACAGAAAAAAACCCAAACAGCATTTCAGTCCTTATCACAAACCGATTTAATTTAATATCTCTTTATTTTTAAAATAATTAAACATTTTTCTTCCAACCCTTTGATCTTTTCTCTGGTCGTAAATCATTTTACATCCGGGCCGTTTTACACCACATCCATCCTACAGGGAGGAAGGGCTTCTGATGGGGCAGAACGCTCTCTAAGGTCCCAACAGCTCCATCTGCTCCATGCCCCCCTCCCACTCTGAACTAACCCCCCCGCAAAGATATACACAAACATCTAATGAACAGAAATGTCAAAATATTGAAAACAAGATAAAAACCAAAAAGCAGAGAATAAAGTGAGACAAAATGAAGTAAAGGGGAAACAGAAGACGTCTGGTTCTGGTTCTGCTCCATAAACAAACACTAAGGTTCTAACAGAAACTCGGTTCTAGTCACTGTAATACTGTGAATTCCACGCAGCGCCCCCTGCTGGCAAACAGCAGGAACAGAGTTCTGTTTGCATGGTTATCTGTTGGCAGGCTGGTACCAGACCAGTACCAACGGGTCTCCTAAAGACCCAGGGGGTCAATGGTTCGATTCCTTACTCAGAGTGTGTTCACATGAAGAGGACCCCCCCATGGTTGATCCTTTCCTCTGGAGCTCAGAGAGAAATAGAACAACTACACCATCTAGCTCCAGTATTCCTAGATCTGCATGTAAACACACTCTGATTTCCCAGGATGGTTGTCTGAGACGGCGTGGAGGTTCATTAGCTCATCTGATCAGGCAGAGAGAGGAAGAGGAGGATAAACAGAAATGAAGAATCTACCATCTCAGTTTCCTGCTTCTTTTTTTAGATTCTTTCTCTCCGTTTTTATTCGTCTCGTTTTTCTGTTCGCATCATCATCAGTTCAGGGATAATTATTTACAGTAACCATGGAAACAGATGTGATGATCTACAGTAAAGGAAGTCGCACAAACAGGAGAAACTAAACAACAGAACTCATAATAAACGGATGAAGAACCCCGAGGTTCTGAGAGTCCAGAGACCGGAGCTCAGGGCAGGGATTGAGGAGCAGAGGAGGCGGCGGCAGTGGCGTCCGTTAGGTGGGGATGATCCCGTCGCTCCTAAGGCCCCGCTTCAACTCCAGGTCCTCCAGCTTCTTCCACAGCTCCTCACGCTCCTTCTCCTTCTTCTTCTCCCTAAAACAAGCATAAGAAGAATGAGCTCCACCCTCTGCAGGACCTGGACAGGTTCTAGTGCTCCATCAGGTCCGCTGCTGGTCTGAACCTCAAGGTTCAATAAGTTTAATGTCAGAAACGAGCAAAGAGGATCTGAGGACTGCTGCAGGTCAGAACCGCTGAACTCTGTAGAAGAACCAGCAGAGAAGATCAGCTTTCATTTCTGACAGAAGGTTTCAGGTCTGGACTTTGACTAGGCCTAAATCCTGCATCTGGTCAGTTCTGATAGGATCAGGGGTTTGAATACTTTAGCTGACCCTATGAAGGTTCTACCGACCTCCACGAGGATGGTTAGAGGTCCAGTGGGTTCTGATGGAGTCCTTACCTCTGACGCTCTGACTTGTAGGTGGCGGTGAGCTCATCAAATAAGGTGCTGTTCATCTCCATGAAGGCCTTCAGGACATTGTAGACCAGCGCTACGATGGCCCTACGATGACATGCCTCCTAATAACTGCTCAGAAATCCATCCATTGATCCTCTTCCGCTTATCCGGGGTCGGTTCGCGGGGGTAGCAGTTTCAGTAGGGAGGCCTGGACATCCCTCTCCCCAGCCACTTGGGCCAGCTCCTCCGAGGGAATCCCAGGGCGCTCCCAGGCCAGCCGAGAAACACACTCCCTCCAGCGTGTCCTGGGTCTCCCCCTGGGCCTCCTCCAGGTGGGACGCGCCTGGAATACCTCACTAGGGAGGCGTCCAGGAGGCATCCTAATCAGATGCCCGAGCCACCTCAACTGGCTCCTCTCGATGTGGAGGAGCAGCGGCTCTACTCTGAGTCATCCCCGGATGACTGAGCTCCTCACCGTATCTCTAAGGGAGAGCCCAGACACACTACGGAGAAAATTCATTTCAGCCGCTTGTATCCGGATCATGTTCTTTCGGTCATGACCCAAAGCTCATGACCATAGATGAGGGTAGGAACGTAGATCGAGCGGTAAATCGAGAGCTTTGCTTTTTGGCTCAGCTCTCTCTCTCTCTTCACAGACCGGTACAGTCTGTCATACACCATTCCGCCTATCAATCTCCTGCTCCATCTTCCCATCATTCATGAACAAGACCCCAAGATACTTAATCCTGGTCTTTTCTAATAGCTGGCTCTTTCAGCTTCGCTGCTGTCAGCAAAGTGAATAGGTGGGCTGGTGCTAAAATACGGACTAGAATTAACCTCGCATGTCCTGAGATTAACCTGGCATCTCCTAGAATTAACCTGGCATGTCCTCGGATTAACCTGGCATCTCCTAGAATTAACCTGGCATGTCCTCGGATTGACTTGGCATATCCTCAGATTAACCTGGCACGTCCTGAGATTAACCTGGTATCTCCTAGAATTAACCTGGCATGTCCTCGGATTAACTTGACATCTCCTAGAATTAACCTGGCATCTCCTAGAATTAACCTGGCATGTCCTCGGATTGACCTGGCATGTCCTCGGATTGACCTGGCATGTCCTCGGATTAACTTGGCATGTCCTCAGATTAACCTGGCATCTCCTAGAATTAACCTGGCATGTCCTCGGATTGACTTGACATCTCCTAGAATTATCCTGGCATGTCCTTGGATTAACTTGACATCTCCTAGAATTAACCTGGCATCTCCTAGAATTAACCTGGCATGTCCTCGGATTGACCTGGCATGTCCTCGGATTGACCTGGCATGTCCTCGGATTAACTTGGCATGTCCTCAGATTAACCTGGCATCTCCTAGAATTAACCTGGCATGTCCTCAGATTGACTTGGCATATCCTCAGATTAACCTGGCATCTCCTAGAATTAACCTGGCATGTCCTCGGATTAACCTGGCATCTCCTCAGATTAACCTGGCATGTCCTCGGATTAACCTTGCATGTCCCGATTAACCTGGCATGTCCTCAGATTAACCTGGCATCTCCTAGAATTAACTTGGCATGTCCTCAGATTAACCTGGCATCTCCTAGAATAAACCTGGCATGTCCTCAGATTAACCCGGAATCTCCTAGAATTAACCTGGCATGTCCTCAGATTAACCTGGCATCTCCTAGAATTAACCTGGCATGTCCTCAGATTAACCTGGCATCTCCTAGAATTAACTTGGCTTCTCCTCAGATTAACCTGACATCTCCTAGAATTAACCTGGCATCTCCTCAGATTAACCTGGCATCTCCTAGAATTAACTTGGCATGTCCTCAGATTAACCTGGCATCTCCTAGAATTAACCTGGCATGTCCTCAGATTAACCTGGCATCTCCTAGAATTAACCTGGCATGTCCTCAGATTAACCTGGCATCTCCTCAGATTAACCTGGCATCTCCTAGAATTAACCTGGCATGTCCTCAGATTAACCTGGCATCTCCTCAGATTAACCTGACATCTCCTAGAATTAACCTGGCATCTCCTCAGATTAACCTGACATCTCCTAGAACTAACCTGGCATCTCCTAGAATTAACCTGGCATGTCCTCAGATTAACCCGGCATCTCCTAGAATTAACCTGGCATCTCCTCAGATTAACCTGGCATCTCCTAGAATTAACTTGGCATGTCTTCAGATTAACCTGGCATCTCCTAGAATTAACCTGGCATGTCCTCAGATTAACCTGGCATCTCCTAGAATTAACCTGGCATCTCCTCAGATTAACCTGGCATCTCCTAGAATTAACCTGGCATCTCCTAGAATTAACCTGGCATCTCCTCAGATTAACCTGGCATCTCCTAGAATTAACCTGGCATCTCCTAGAATTAACCTGGCATCTCCTAGAATTAACCCAGGCATCTCCTAGAATTAACGTGGCATCTCCTCAGATTAACCTGGCATCTCCTAGAATTAACCTGGCATCTCCTCAGATTAACCTGGCATCTCCTAGAATTAAACTGGCATCTCCTAGAATTAACCTGGCATCTCCTCAGATTAACCTGGCATCTCCTAGAATTAACTTGGCATGTCCTCAGATTAACCTGACATCTCCTAGAATTAACCTGGCATCTCCTCAGATTAACCTGGCATCTCCTACAAGTAACCTGGCATGTCCTCAGATTAAGCTGGCATCTCCTAGAATTAACCTGGCATGTCCTCGGATTAACTTGGCCTGTGCTCCAATGAACGTGGGATGTCCTTGTGTTAGCAGTAAGGTCGTGTTGAGAAGGTGGACTGAATTTTTATCAGCATTTTTTTTAAATCTTTAAATAAGTTGTTTTAATGTCCATTTTTTAGCGTGAAAAACTGCGGATATGGAGTGCGAGTGTGTGAAGACACTGAGATGGGCGAGTCTCACGCCTAAAGGGTGAGAGCTGACAGCCCTGATTGTAAAACACAGCTCATTTATGAGCAGTCGTTTATCTAACTGGAAAAAGCTCTGGATCTCTGCAGAGAGCCCAGGAGGACAGTATGGGGGCCCAGATTCATTCAACTTAGCCTCCTTCTTCTGTTCTGCTTAAACTCTTATACATCTATGGTTCTGACAGCATATGCAGCTCCAGGTTCTGGTCCAAGCAGAAGGTGATGAATCTCACAGGCAGCAGCATCAGAACCAAAGAGCTCATTGCATTTTTTAGGTCATCTTCTTCTTTACAGACTGACAGGTTTATTTTCTCTATTTTACTTGTGTTGTTGTATTATTTCTTCCAATGAATTAGAATTCCACCAACATCTTTTAAAAACAGACAGAAAAAAACCCAAACAGCATTTCAGTCCTTATCACAAACCGATTTAATTTAATATCTCTTTATTTTTAAAATAATTAAACATTTTTCTTCCAACCCTTTGATCTTTTCTCTGGTCGTAAATCATTTTACATCCGGGCCGTTTTACACCACATCCATCCTACAGGGAGGAAGGGCTTCTGATGGGGCAGAACGCTCTCTAAGGTCCCAACAGCTCCATCTGCTCCATGCCCCCCTCCCACTCTGAACTAACCCCCCCGCAAAGATATACACAAACATCTAATGAACAGAAATGTCAAAATATTGAAAACAAGATAAAAACCAAAAAGCAGAGAATAAAGTGAGACAAAATGAAGTAAAGGGGAAACAGAAGACGTCTGGTTCTGGTTCTGCTCCATAAACAAACACTAAGGTTCTAACAGAAACTCGGTTCTAGTCACTGTAATACTGTGAATTCCACGCAGCGCCCCCTGCTGGCAAACAGCAGGAACAGAGTTCTGTTTGCATGGTTATCTGTTGGCAGGCTGGTACCAGACCAGTACCAACGGGTCTCCTAAAGACCCAGGGGGTCAATGGTTCGATTCCTTACTCAGAGTGTGTTCACATGAAGAGGACCCCCCCATGGTTGATCCTTTCCTCTGGAGCTCAGAGAGAAATAGAACAACTACACCATCTAGCTCCAGTATTCCTAGATCTGCATGTAAACACACTCTGATTTCCCAGGATGGTTGTCTGAGACGGCGTGGAGGTTCATTAGCTCATCTGATCAGGCAGAGAGAGGAAGAGGAGGATAAACAGAAATGAAGAATCTACCATCTCAGTTTCCTGCTTCTTTTTTTAGATTCTTTCTCTCCGTTTTTATTCGTCTCGTTTTTCTGTTCGCATCATCATCAGTTCAGGGATAATTATTTACAGTAACCATGGAAACAGATGTGATGATCTACAGTAAAGGAAGTCGCACAAACAGGAGAAACTAAACAACAGAACTCATAATAAACGGATGAAGAACCCCGAGGTTCTGAGAGTCCAGAGACCGGAGCTCAGGGCAGGGATTGAGGAGCAGAGGAGGCGGCGGCGGTGGCGTCCGTTAGGTGGGGATGATCCCGTCGCTCCTAAGGCCCCGCTTCAACTCCAGGTCCTCCAGCTTCTTCCACAGCTCCTCACGCTCCTTCTCCTTCTTCTTCTCCCTAAAACAAGCATAAGAAGAATGAGCTCCACCCTCTGCAGGACCTGGACAGGTTCTAGTGCTCCATCAGGTCCGCTGCTGGTCTGAACCTCAAGGTTCAATAAGTTTAATGTCAGAAACGAGCAAAGAGGATCTGAGGACTGCTGCAGGTCAGAACCGCTGAACTCTGTAGAAGAACCAGCAGAGAAGATCAGCTTTCATTTCTGACAGAAGGTTTCAGGTCTGGACTTTGACTAGGCCTAAATCCTGCATCTGGTCAGTTCTGATAGGATCAGGGGTTTGAATACTTTAGCTGACCCTATGAAGGTTCTACCCACCTCCACGAGGATGGTTAGAGGTCCAGTGGGTTCTGATGGAGTCCTTACCTCTGACGCTCTGACTTGTAGGTGGCGGTGAGCTCATCAAATAAGGTGCTGTTCATCTCCATGAAGGCCTTCAGGACATTGTAGACCAGCGCTACGATGGCCCTGGGACAGAGGACGGGGAGAGGACAGAGGACAGTTTAGAGTCCATATCAGGTTTGAAGGAGATAAAGTTCTAATCTGCTTCATTGAATCAATCAAAGAACACAGGAAGTTGGAGCTGATGGTCCATCTGTCTGTCCCCCTTTCAGAGGTTCTAGGCTGTGTCCTAACGTCCAGCCTGACCTCTGACCCCTCCATCACTATAGAGACCAGGGACTTTATAGTGAACTCAGTTAAATGACCGTTCAGACAAATGATCACTACTTTTCGCTCCCCATTGGTCATGTGACTGCGCCTCCCTGCACGATGCCTTCGCCATCTTTTTTATTTACCGTTGCTACAACAAATCCCATGATGCTTTAAAAGGAGAGCTCCCTCAAAGCATTCTGGGACATATCTGCTCGTCTAGCGACCATGGATGATCACTACTTTTCAAGGTGCATTGTGGGAAAATTCCTGTCCACTAGACCAGGCATCCCCAAAGTTGGTCCTCGAGGGCCGCTGTCCTGCAGGTTTTATAGATCTCCTTGCTCCAGCACAGCTGATTTTAATTAAAAGCTAATTATCAGGCTTTTGCTCAACTGCAATCATAATCAGCTGTGCTAAAGCAAGGAAACCTCTAAAACCTGCAGGACAGCGGCCCTCGAGGACCGACTTTGGGGATGCCTGAACTAGACGTTCGGACACTCGTATAAAACGGAGTGTTTCAGATCAGCTCCATGACACTGAGGTCTAGACTTCGACCCGGTCCAGGACTTCCCAGATGACTCTTTTTCTGAGTCGTTGCTGAAGTCCCGGCCCCAGGTCGCACTGAAACGGTTACCCAGGATTTCACATCCTCCGCCTGCCGCGCTCTGCCCCGCCCCGCTCAAGTACGTCCTGCGGAGTAATTGATCTGGCATGTTAATATGAGAGCTGTTCCACATCTTCCGCACGTCACCATCCACGGACGTCTTCTCCGTCCTTCACCGTCAAAATAAGGAGCGGAGCTAAAAAAAAGCTTGCTCCAGTCCAGCCAGGTCAAGATACACAATTTCAATCATACCAAACAGGAAAAAGAACGTTTAGAAGGTTTATCAAATTCAAATACATATATATGGTAACGACAGATCGGTAACTACAGACTAGAAAAAGTTGCATTTCCTGCGAAAATGCAGTGTGAATGCTGTACGCTAAACTGTAAGCTGTAAGGTTAAAATGGCAGAAACAAGCTGAAATTTAAAGTCAAAGCTGCTGAAATGGTATGGAATAGCAAAAAAAAGGTCTAATTAGTTTCTTAAAAGTAGCTGAAGCCAACAGCAGAAACATGGCAGACATGTTATGAATTAACAGCAAGCAGAAAAGCTTAATGCCTTTCCAGAAAGAGAGCAGAATCAAGCCAAAATTGGAAAAAATATGCAGAAATTTTATAAAATAGCAAAAACGGTAACATAAACAGTAAAAAAGTTGAATCTTAACTAGTTGAAGACAAAAATGAGTAGCTTAAGGATAGGAAGATAAATGTTGAATATGTATAATAAGTATTAAAGTCTGAAATCATATGTGGAAATGTCAAGACTTGTAAAAAAAAATTGAAATTAATTAAAATGTGTCAGTTGATCAGCATAGAGAAAACAGTGTCATCCTTAGAAGCTTGAAAATCCACAAACCAAAGTACAAGACTGACCATAAGAAGCACAGGAAGGACAGAGAGAGAAGCTTATAAAAAGAGAGCTAATAAAACTTAAGGAGCTGAATTTATCAAAAAATCTAACCTGCATGTTATGAGCCACTGTGTTGATGACAGCACAGTTGGCAGGCTTAGGCTGCATGTTACGAGGTTAGCAGATGCTTTATTACAGTGTAAATCTTAGAACCTGATTAAGAAATATGCACTGAGGTGTGTGGTCAACAGGCCTTGGTAGTGTAATTTGAAGAAATTGGTTGAGTTTGGGTCATAGCTACGAGCCATACGGCACAATGAATGAGTGTATGTAAGAAAGAGGCTTTTATTTTGTAGGGTCACTGGAGTCTTATTTTGAAAGTCTATCATGGATGTGTGTCAAGGGAAGGGTCATGCCCAGCAGTGATATAGAATCCATTTCTAAATATGAAATCACTTGTTTTCCATGTTATTGGGTGAATAGATGCTCTGTTAGAGCGTAAATGGGAGACTTTTATTGTGAAATTCACTCCAGGGTATGTTTTGAAAAGGTCCCTAGAGTCTAATAGAAACAAGCTGGTAGAGTTTGGGTCATAATGCTGAGCCATTTGCATCAATTAATACACAAGTATAATATAGAGGCTTTTATTTTGTAGGGTCACTGGAGTCTTATTTTGAAAGTCTAGCATGGTTGTGTGTTGAGGAAAAGGGTCAGACCCAGCAGTGACACTTGATGACTTTCCAATCATTAAATCACTCTTTCCCCTGTTATTAGGGCAGTAGATGAAGTGGCAATGGGAGGCTTTTATTTTGAAATTTGCTGTGGGGTGTGTTTTGAAAACCCCCCTAGAGTCTAATTTTAAAAAAGTGGTTGAGTTCGGATCATAATGTTGACCCATATGCTGGGAAAAAAATATGAGTTTAATGTAGGGGCTTTTATTTTGAAGGGTCCCCGGAGTCTTATTTTGAAAGTCTATCAGGGTTGCGTGTGAAGGGAAGGGTCATGGCCAGTAGTCATATTGTATCCACTTCCTAATGTTAAATCAGTGTTGTCTCCCTCCATTAGATTAAAATGTGCTGTTTAAAGTGGTGGAGGTAAAATCTGTTTGAAGCTCGGTTACCTTGACAACGTTAACGAGCCTGTCAGTGACAGAGAGAAACGCGCAGCACTATCGTTCCTTAGTTCTCAGGCTTTTTTGAATGGGATTATCAGCTCCGAACAAACAAGTGCTGAAGACAAACCGTAAATGGTATCTAAAAAATTCTTTCAGTCTAAGCGAGAGCTATCCTTTGTCTCCGATTGGGGTAACTTTCATGGCTGTAGCTCATTCACAACCTTAATGGGAAGGAGGAATAAAAAGGTTTGAGAAATCCTGCTGGTCTCATTGAATAACATGCAGCTTAATGGTAGAGCAGAACTCTCAAAAGCAAAACTTTTCCTCCGAACAAACGAGCGGTGAGCCAAAACCGTATTAGGTATTCAAAAAATTCTTTCGCCGTGAGCGTCAGCCATCTTTGGACTACAACTGGGGTGACTTTCATATTTCTACAATATTTCGTCTAGGCGTGGTGACGATGTAAAAAAGTGTATAATTGTCAAAATCCTGATTTTGGGGTTCGGACAGATTTGTTACCCCCGAACAAACCTTTTTCCTAGCTAAACGATAAAAGATATCGACACACTTCCTTCAATGTGAGTGCTAGGAAGGTCTGAGGAACAACTTCCACAAGGCTCGTGTTGCTACGTCGAACGGTTCCCGAATGGGAGCGATACGAAAAAGTCTGTTTTTTTGAATTTTCAGTTCGGATTTTCAGAGAGCTCTCATTGGATTTCTATTGGAGAAGTTTGGACTTCTTCGTGGTCTGGGCCAAACTGTCGGAAAACCGTAAATGTCACACGAATGAGGGTTACATTTCCTGAATCCTGACAAAAATCCCTACGTTTTGATGTAAAATTTATCTAGATAGAGTAGAAAATGAGCGAGTGAGTTGAAGCTGTTCGGCATGAGTGAAATGTTTGAAAACGCTAGAGTGGCACACTCTAGCAGCTGAACATTCCGTCCATAGACTTCCATTATAAATTTGAAAATCTGTAAAAATTGTTTAAAAGTTTGAAGCTTCACTGAAGCAAAACTGTAAAAGTTAGCTGAAAGCCGAGTTAAACAGTAATAGCAGAAAGATACGGAAACATTTTAAAAGTTGAATGGTGTTTCTAGCTGAAAGTATGCTGAAGTAGTTAAAGCTCAAAGTAGTTGAAGATTTGCTGAAATTTTGTGGAAATTTTCTGATTTTACATTCATTCCTATGGGAGCAAAAAAGGCATAAAAAGTTAAATATTTTAAAAAGTATAAAAGTTTAAAAAGTAAAAAGATATAGCAGAATTGTACTAATTAAGTTGAATAGTTTAAAAGTTGAATGGTTGAAATAGCACAAAGTATGAAGGACTAGTTAAATGACGAAAAACGGAGCAACCAGAATAAGAATAATAACTAGAAAAAGTTGCATTTCCTGCGAAAATGCAGTGTGAATGCTGTACGCTAAACTGTAAGCTGTAAGGTTAAAATGGCAGAAACAAGCTGAAATTTAAAGTCAAAGCTGCTGAAATGGTATGGAATAGCAAAAAAATGTCTAATTAGTTTCTTAAAAGTAGCTGAAGCCAACAGCAGAAACATGGCAGACATGTTATGAATTAACAGCAAGCAGAAAAGCTTAATGCCTTTCCAGAAAGAGAGCAGAATCAAGCCAAAATTGGAAAAAATATGCAGAAATTTTATAAAATAGCAAAAACGGTAACATAAACAGTAAAAAAGTTGAATCTTAACTAGTTGAAGAAAAAAATGAGTAGCTTAAGGATAGGAAGATAAATGTTGAATATGTATAATAAGTATTAAAGTCTGAAATCATATGTGGAAATGTCAAGACTTGTAAAAAAAAATTGAAATTAATTAAAATGTGTCAGTTGATCAGCATAGAGAAAACAGTGTCATCCTTAGAAGCTTGAAAATCCACAAACCAAAGTACAAGACTGACCATAAGAAGCACAGGAAGGACAGAGAGAGAAGCTTATAAAAAGAGAGCTAATAAAACTTAAGGAGCTGAATTTATCAAAAAATCTAACCTGCATGTTATGAGCCACTGTGTTGATGACAGCACCGTTGGCAGGCTTAGGCTGCATGTTACAAGGTTAGCAGATGCTTTATTACAGTGTAAATCTTAGAACCTGATTAAGAAATATGCACTGAGGTGTGTGGTCAACAGGCCTTGGTAGTGTAATTTGAAGAAATTGGTTGAGTTTGGGTCATAGCTACAAGCCATATGGCACAATGAATGAGTGAATGTAAGAAAGAGGCTTTTATTTTGTAGAGTCCCTTTAGTCTTATTTTGAAAGTCTATCATGGATGTGTGTCAAGGGAAGG